TCGGTTTGTCAAACGGCGAGAAGTTGAAGCATTTGGTTCAGCCGTCGCAGCGGTTATATCAGCTGATAGTGAATGCTCTGAAACTCGAAGGAGGTTTGTATAGCTTGTATGCACTCCCAGGTGGACATCACCTCAATTGCACTCTTATTTGATGACTCGATTAGACTCTCCATTGAGTGACGATAGCATTCACGCCATGAATCTAATAGATCTCGACTTCGATGCTGATCGCAATTCTGGCTCTTCTCGGGCCAGTCTGTACGACAGCTCCGCCACCAAAGACTACTTCAGGAGTCGGTCGTACTCTCCCGACATTGAAGTGATGCCACAACTATCCTCTCACCGAATGCTAGACATGGGACGCATGATATCAAAGACGTCGCCAATGGCTGAACCGCTGCACAGCCGGAACAGTATGAGTAACGACACACTGGCGTTGAGGTCGACCCCCGATATCCCCATTTCGCCATTCGCTCAACACGTTGCCACTAATTCGATGAACGGCTTGCGATCCGTGACTCCTAACGCGGCCGATATGGGCGGACAGACCGGTCTCCTGGGAAACCCATCCCAACAAATAGATTTTAGTGATCTCTTAACGCAAATAAATTTGGCTCAATTGGTGTATATGAACGCCGACCCCACGGCGTCTGTGGCCTCCTCTTCAGCCAATACGCCGTCTCCCACTCCTATCACCCCTTCAGTGCCTTTAGAGAACGGGGGGTTTGTGTTGAATGAGGCGGCCATCAAAAACATCAGTCAGTTGGCCAAACTCAGCGAAGTCCAGAACGGATTAGCAATGACTAACTCCACGTCCCCGACCTCCATGTCCTCAACTCTGGGTCGAAGCTCTTCTAACTCCGGATCCAAACCTAATGTCATGCAAATACGCTTCAAGTTTGGACAACTCGGTCAACAAAAGGGTCAGTTCTCGTCCCCTCACGGCTTCTGCTTAGGAGTGGACGAGGAGATAGTGATCGCCGACACTAACAATCACCGCATCTGTATCTTCGATAAAACAGGTATTTATAAGACTCTTGAGTGTAAGACACAAATTAATTACAGAATTGATTTTTAGCCGAATTTAAGCACTCGTTTGGAGTCCCAGGTAAGGATGAGGCACAGCTCTGGTATCCCAGAAAGGTATGCAATGCGTGAGTGTTGGTGTTGAGCCTAAACTGACGTAAAGTGCCATTTGCCCGAAGGTTGCAATAATCCGGACGGCAATGGGTGGGAGCGGTACTGCGGCGCCGCGTTATGTGATATGCGACAGAGGGGCTGAACGCAGTCGGATGCAGATCTTCACCCGTTCCGGTCATTTCGTTCGCAAAATAGCCATTCGTTATATCGATATCGTTGCCGGACTGGCCATCACTCCCAACGGACATATCGTTGCTGTGGACTCGGTCTCGCCGACAGTCTTTGTCATCGCGGAGTCCGGAGATCTTCTCCGATGGTTTGATTGCTCGGAGTATATGCGGGAACCGTCGGACATCGCCATCAATAACCACGAGTACTACATCTGCGACTTCAAGGGTCACTGTGTGGTGGTGTTCAACGACGAGGGCCAGTATATGCGCAAAATCGGTTGTGAAGGGCTGACCAGTTTCCCCAACGGGATCGACATCTCGGACGCGGGCGACATACTGGTGGGCGACTCGCACGGCAATCGGTTCCATGTGGTGGTGTTCGACCGGTCGGGCACTTTGATCAGCGAATTCGAGTGTCCGTACGTTAAGGTCTCGCGATGTTGTGGACTCAAGATCACCAGCGAAGGCTATGTCGTGACGTTAGCCAAAAACAATCATCACGTCCTCGTCCTCAACACTCTCTACATTATGTGAGTCAACACCACAACCGCAACAACACTTCAAACAAATGTCTAATATATGAATACAAAACAAAGTGAAACGTCGATCAATACAACGATTTGTAGTCAAGTTTCGTAATCTATTTTTTAAATGATTTCAATTTTAAATCCTATACTTTGGGTCCATATTTAGAAACAAAACGAGATATTTTTAGTCAAAAGCAATATTAAGTTTTTATGTGTTATTGAAAAGCAATAACTGTTTTCTCTCTTATCTTACATTAAAGTACTTTTATTGAATAGTTCTTAGGATACAATACAATTGCCATTGAATTTGAATTTTAGGCGTAAAGTACTTTAAATATACAACAAAATTATTTGAATATTACTATAATATCAGTTTTATTGAGAAAACTCAATGAAAGCATTTTCGAGTAAACATTTTTGTGATTTTATGTGAAAACAAAAGTTTAATCCGTTTAACGTTACAATATTTACATACATTTGTCGACATTTATTACTAGTCTATTATCATTCAAATCAATCGATATCTTATCAATATTTTTATGCAATTTTTTTT